TCTCATTTCTCTAAGAACAAAAAAACTTAAGACAAATGTGTTATYGGTAGTTCAGTAGTATATATTGTCATATAGGTACTTACTCTGAACAATRTTAATCTTTTTTYTACTAAAAATGTGAAATTATAACCTAATGAATAATGATGAATTTTATCCTATATTATATATAGGTAGCTATAAGATTTTATTACACATTTAGAAAATATTAAAATGTAAAATTAAGCCTAAGCTTAAGTAAAAAAAAACACGTAAATTAAAAGGCRATAAATTAAAATAAAATAAAATAATTATTATTGGAAAACTTTTCATTTTTGACAGCTGATATTATCTAGCAATTCCCGATACCACGTTTTTGAGAATTCCTAAAAATGGGAATATTCATTCTTGAGAGATCGTTGCTGGAAATTCCGAGAGTACCCTAATTGACAGGTATGGTATATTAATATTAAATCGATAACTTTAAGAACAATTCATTCCATATTGAAAGGTATAGATGTATAGATGGTGTTAATCAGTTATCAGACGGCTTACAATTTAAGGTAAGTATTATACAACATTTTCAAGTTTACAGTATATCGCAAATTTGCATATCACTAATACCTTATTGATTTGTTAATAAATGGAAACTATTAAATGTTTAGAAAATAAAAATTAAGTTGCAACCYATAGGTACTTTTATTTTATTAAGTTTTTCTCCGATATCTTTCAATAACAACAAATTAGATTTATCAATAAAGCACCAGCTRTATATAATACAAATTATTTATTAAGTTATTTTCTAACTATAATGAATGCAATTGGTTGTACTGAACTATAATGTATTATGGCTGTGGTGACCTGCAAACAATTTCCCGCTCATTGCCATTATCTCGTGATTAACTTAAATTATCATAAGCCATGGCAGATAAACATTCTAAAACTGTCCTAAACAAAACCACGAAAACAATACAATAATCTTGTCAGCATAGTGTGTCAACGCATAATACCATTTCAGCATCTCAATCTAATAATGAGTTTATCACTACAATACGTCTTCTAAATGCTTTATTTTGATGTATGTTTCAATCAATAAATACAACTTATAATCAAACAAAAACTAAGAACCTGTACCTAAATATATCTAAAAATCGATTCTCCCGAATCCCTGATAACCAAACCAACAATATTGAATTAGAGTTTGGTTCTATCATCTCAATAAAATTACTTTTCACAATTTATATTTGCTTTTAATCTATAYCAATTCAAAAAAGACTGAGTAGGTATATCGTGTTGCACTTAGAAATATTCATCACTCTACCTTTTGATAGAGGATAAATTAAAAATGAAGTACTATCACATCATGGTTACTTMCAGAACTACTTTATAGTAATAAATTATTTAGCAACTATTGGTTTTGACAATTGAATACAAGGTTCCTCATAAGATTAAAATATAAACTCAAATAAACTTCAGACTGTCATGATTTAATTGAGATGGCTCACTACTAAATAATATGTATATCTAACTTTATTTATTGTGTAAGTTTCATAAAGTTGTAAAACATGATTGGAAAAAAAGACATACATTGATTTATTCTTTAAAAATATCAGTTAGGTAAAATGAAAATGAAGGATGTGATTCATTACGACRAAATGAAAAATTCAATTGGAACGACTTAACATAATATGGATATAAATTTTCGATGAATAGTGGTGGTRCCAACAAATAAAATAAATATACGTTCTTACACATCCTTTCATTTACATTTTTTTGTTTCAACACTTCATAATACACTAGCTACTTATTGTAAATTATACAATGTGTAATTTTATAAATTTCGATTTAAAGTAATTAAAAATGTTATATTTTTAATTTTGTATTTTGTGTAATAGAATAAATATCAAATATTGTATACTTTATTTTTATTATTGCAGCTTTAGGGTACCTTATGTGAACATAATACCTCTATTGAGTGATATAACATTATTATATATTATAAATGTATTTGAGAAGAGAAATAATTATTCTATACWGTATATGTGCTGTGAGGATATATCCATTAACCGTAGAGGGGGAYTTGCCGCCAGGATATAAAACAGTTATTTGCCTTTTTATCTATAAWYTAAAAAAAATATTAAAAATCATGTGATCGATAAAAATAAAATGTTGAAAGATCAAAATTTTCAGCAAAATAAAATCTATAAAATAGGAATCTTTAATTTTTTGAAAAAATTAAAGTTACAATAAAATAAAATACAAGTWGCCCTTGTCTATGTGAGTCTAATAAAAAATAGATTTATGATATATTTATTATCTTAGAAGATATCGTAATAGATAAAYCCTTGCGGGACACCCTGTATATTATTCAATATAACATTAGTATAAATACATTTATTAGATGAAACATTTTCTCACTTAATGGATAACTTTTAAAAAAATGATCGTTTAATAGTATTAACCAGACGATTAATTGAATTAAAATCTTTAATAATAATTTAATTGTATAGGACTTGAAAACATATTTAAWATAATATGCATAGTATTGGTACCGATGAAGAATTAAATGCTTAAGGGTATATCAATTAAGTAAACTAAAATTTAAATGTAGTTAGATATGCGTACAGACTATAGATTTTCAAGACACTTGAAACGTAAAACATTGTATTATTAACTTAAATTAATTTTATGGAAATAAATATAAAAATAGTTCAATATTTGAATTTAATATAATATATTAACTATCAATTATTTTGGATGGAATTTAGCCATTCTTAAAATGCTATAGTGTTTGTCTAAACACCTATTATAATAATTATGCTTACTGAATTAAAAACTATAGATACTAMAATTCACGCTATTATCACGCTAATTTTGAATGTCTGAATATAAAAAATATAAACGATATTAACTTTGTCTGTGATAAATGAAAGAGAAATAAGCAAGTTTATTTTTCTACTGTATTAYAAATACTCATCAGACCCGAAAAAATATACGGTTGACTGAACGATGAGATTTTTTAGGTTATTTTTTCTTCCAAAAACAAAATCGTTAAAATTGTGTTATAATTTTTAACGTAGATAAATATAATATAAAAAATATGCTTTAAAATAAGGTTTACTTTAATTTGTTACATTTATTGAATTATTGAACACTGTTTTATAACAGATCGCTAGCTAAGTGTTTATGCAAATGATAAACTTATTTAAACTATAAGAAATTATTAATTTAATAGAATAAAAATATTGTTTCATACAATTTTAATAATTTTGATGAACTATTTGGCAATTGTTTTAATTTTAATACATGATAAAAAAAATTTGAATAATTATTATAATTAAATTATCATCATACATTGCAACACAAAATATAATAAACATTGAAATAAGTATTGTTAAAAGTAGGTAATAAAAATTTAGKAAAAATACTGTAATAATGTCAAACGTTGAAAATTAAAGACATTTTATCAGATATTTATCTACACTATAAAAAGTTCTAATAAAAGTAACGAAACATTTATAAATTAAAAGAGAGAATATCGTTAAAGTTTCAGGTAGCAAAAAACCCATTTACATGCGAGTTTTCGCGCTAGTTTATTTACGTACGAGAATTAACTCGTTTCCATGAAAAAAAAAAAAACGTATCATGAATAGCACGTGTCTTCACGTACATCAAAAACAAACATGCTCAAATAATATCGAAAAATCTTTATATTTTACCTACATAATATTATTACGGACGTATATCGTATTCGTCTTGTTGGGATCTAGATTTATTGCTGGTGCACTTGCATAGATTTTGTATAGGATATTATTATCACAAATAGTTTTATCTATACTTAAAATAAATTTAATTATTATTTATTTATGTACGTCTAAGAAGTAACTATGTTACCATCCACTGGTATCAATAATATTGACGAAAGTAGAAAATTCTAGAATCTTATCAATATTTTGGAAGTAAAAGAGATGCAATGTCAAGTTTTTGGAAGAAAAACGAGTCCGCTTTCGGGGGTTATAAAAATACAATATTTTCATATCATATGTTTCAGAACTAGAACAAAAACGCGTACAGATTTTGTATTTAAAAAATTATAGGTATATTGCAGAGTGACTCACAAACTTATGTTGCATGTATGACTATTTTATTTTTAAAATCACGATACAATAGCATAATGATTACTGTAAATTTTATTCCTCTGCTAAATATTGTGTCTTGAATTATTATTTCCTTCTTTTAATTTTTTTTAAAATGTTTTTCTATTTGAATTTAAACACCTATTCTAATGCAAGAATAGGATAATATACATTATATTATAGTGTAAATTTTATAAAAATATTTATCTGGATGTAATCATAAAAAAAAAAAAAAAATATAACCCATCCTGACTTTTTTTTTGTCAAAATTTTTACGATAAATTTGGACTATTTAAATTTTAAAGAATGCAATTTTTGAAGATCTTATAGTAATAAATCATGCAATTTATTTTTTGTTAAGTATAATTAATCTGATTTAATTTTTTTAATTATTATTTATATTTCATAATAGTTAACTAGCAATTAACATTATTTAGTGTTTTCATCGAAATATTATCAGCCAATAATTAATCATATTAAAACTCCGTTTTAACAAAAAAATTTATATTTATAATTTAAAAATTAGTTTAATAATAATAAAAAAAATAAGTTAAGATGAAATATTGAATAATAGGTAATACATTTTTACACGAAAATAAATTGTTTTTAGAATAATTTTTAGTATTCAAAAAAATAAAAATAAAAATAAAATAAATTTAAAACAGATTAACTGTACAATTTGCACTGTGTTTGGGACATACGGCTTTTGGTGTCTTGGTCGTCTAAAATATTGTAGTCTGGAAAATACATAGTTCGTCCTGATTCATACAGATTTAATCCACACGTTGRMAACATAATATTAGTAGAATTGCAACAATAATAAAATTAAAATAACCGTCAAACGTAAAAACTAGGATAATAAATCCAGACTTTCATCGTCGGACTTACCTTCTGGGACCATCGCAGATGGTGGTGTGAACTCCGCAGAAGTGTTTGAAAAAAAAAAAAACGTTTTGCTCTCAGCGGACGAAGACAGGACTGGACCCACGCGCACTCACGAGCATACACGTACTTACACGTCCGTCACGTATGTGTTGTGAATAATGACGGCAACAATATCGAACACGTCGGTCGGCGGACACTCACACGCGACCAACGACCACGGCGACGGCGATAAACACGGCGCACTGCCACCGGTAGACGTTTTACCGCCGACGACGCCGCCGCGCCGACGCGCATGCCGCTCATAGCGAGTCGCTGTAGCGTCGTGAAAAATTCGAGCGAACTTACGGAGAAATGCACACACGCGATCATAACGAAGACGACGATGACCGTCGTCAGGTGCACGAGGTGTATAATGTGTCAGCAGGCATGTTCCTCCGATGGGGAAGTGGTGGTGGTACAGGCGTATATGACACTGTAGAACGATTTGTCCCCCCTCCCACCAATCATATAAATTGTATTATCCTTATTATAATTCAACTATATTGACGTTAGTATAACACGAATTCTGTCAAACTTTGATTTTTTTTTAAGTTTCTACAGTATATAATTTTAAGTCCATATATTAAAATATGCCCGGTTTTTTGCTTCGGCGTTTAAAGAGGGTGACGAACGACGACGGTAGAAACTTTTATTTTGCAAATGACAACTTTTCTTTTTTTTATTAAATATAGTAAATAGGAATATTACATTAATACAATTATCCAAATATTACTCAACAATATTATATTACGTTCAATATTCAATGCATAACCGCTATATTTATGGGTTATAGCTAATAAGGATACTATTAGGTACCCACTAATTATTGCGATTAAAATTATTTCAGAAATCTRAATTTTGAATTATATAATTTAACGACAAAATGAAGGAGATCATACCCAATTAATTCGCCAATGAATAACTCACTATATTCTGCTTTTTCTTATTATTATTATAATTATTATTGTGCACCCCTCTTTTGAAGCTCTCTGCTACTAGTTTGTTAATAAAAAAAAAAAAGAGGTTCTAATAAAATAAACGTTTCAAAATAATAAAATAATAAAATATCCATAAAAGCTGTAGCTCATTGAAAGTATGGTAGTTATACATGGAAAGAATTCTACAACGGAATTGGATTCCTTGAAAGTTAATTTAGTTGTTCTACCTGTATCGAGTTTCCAAGAATTTTACTCAAGACTTAACGCATTTTTAAGAAT